TGACTTTGCCTATTTTGGACTCAGCCCACGCTCACCCCCTCCGCCACCCAGGTGGAATTAAACTCCATCCATCGTGGCTCCCACGACAGCCCCGAGTGCTGACATTGTGCCTTTGGGTCATCCATTCACCCTTTCGGTGTGGCAAAGAGTGTTAAACCAGCCCTTAGGGAAGTGAGCTGAAACAGCTCGCACTCCCAAGCTCGCATCTGTGTGTCTAGATAGATGGAAAGGGTCCAGGCTTGGATTACCGGTTAACTCAGCTTCCTGCAGCCCTTGAGCCCAGTGTTACCATCCCTCACCGTAACCAACCTCCACCGTAACCCACAGCACCCACCGAGTGCCAGGCCGGGAGGGTGGACCCAGGTGAGGAATTTTGGAGCCAGCAACGGTCTAACAGGGGAGCAGCACAAAGGCGCCCAGGTTGCGAGGAGGAGCTGCCGACGTTTTGGACGTCCCTGTTGCTCACCAGGTGCAGGCCACAAGCCCACCAGGGTGGTCCCAAAGAAGGCGCTGGGGCTGGCCAGACGCCCGAGAAACACTGGGTTGGGGAGGGTGACCGCTCGGCCAAGGCAAACGAAACCGGTGAAGTGCGGGCTGGCGCCCACGGGAAGCAAGTCCACACCCACACGGACCCACGCCAGAACCAACCGCGGGGAAAAGGGGTGCAAAACGCTCACGTCCCCTGTGGCGCCGAAAGGCGTTCTGGGCCCTGAAGCACGGCCGGCAAATATGGTTTTCAGGCAATAAAAAGAAATATCGGCATGCGGGGAGACATAAATGTAGTCGGTGTGACAGCCTAAGCCCATAGGAAATAAGACAGAAGAGAAGAAATTACAGGGACCGGAGGCGCAAAGTTCCCCTGAGGGGCCGAGAGTGGCCCGTGGAGCGAGGGGGGGGTTGAAGCAAAGGTTTCGATTCTCTCCAGACAGTAGATACAGAACAAAAAAAAAGGGCGTTTAATTGGAACCTTCCCTGGGGTGGGCGGGCGGGGGGTCCGGACAAGGACCCAGAAGGAGGAGTGGAAAGAGGCCAGCGGTGCCAGGTCGAAACTGCTGCAGCCTCCTTCCTTTCTTGTTGGGTGGCCAGGTGGGTGACAAACAGCGCAGAGGACGCCAAAGTCCAGATCCGGTCTTCCTGCCCCTCCAGGGAAGGAAAGGGTTTTGCTCACAGGAGACCGTGGCTCTGTCCCCGGGAGTGGTCCGGGTGTGGGCTCCTTTCTCCTGCTGTGTCATCTCAGCGCACTCAGTGTGGAAGCCCCAGATTCTCAGAACAAGCCACTTGGCCACGGGAGAGGCCACATCTTCTCTCCCGCCCAGCCTTGTCGAAAGT